ATGGACGACGTAAAAAAGGGCATCCTCCTACAAATGTTTGGCGGGACGAATAAAACATTTGAACGCGGTGGTAGTCCGAAATACCGTGGAGACATTAATGTCTTGTTGTGTGGTGATCCTTCCACTGCAAAGTCCCAACTCATACAATATATTCACAAAATTGCACCTCGCGGTGTGTATACGAGTGGTAAGGGATCTTCTGCTGTCGGTCTGACTGCGTACGTTAGTCGGGACCCCGAGACCCGGCAGCTGGTGCTCGAGTCCGGCGCGCTTGTTCTTTCTGATGGCGGTGTTTGCTGTATCGACGAGTTCGACAAGATGTCTGACGCTACACGATCCGTACTTCACGAAGTTATGGAGCAGCAGACAGTTTCTGTAGCAAAGGCTGGAATCATCACAACGCTGAATGCAAGAACAAGCATATTAGCTTCCGCTAACCCTATCGGTTCTCGGTACAACCCTGATCTTCCTGTTCCCCAAAACATAGACCTCCCTCCAACACTTTTATCCCGGTTCGATCTGGTCTATCTAATACTTGACCGCGTCAATGAATCGAACGACCGAAGATTAGCACGGCATCTCTTATCGATGTATTTGGAGGACAAGCCGCAGTCGGCGAGCTCCAAAGACGAAATTCTCGTAAGTTTATTTTCCCCCCACGACATTTAATGGTATTACCAGCTAACTAATGATTACTCATAGCCTGTGGAGTTTTTGACCGCCTACATCTCCTACGCTCGCGCCCACATACACCCCACGCTGTCACAGGATGCTTCACAGGCACTTGTTGAAGCCTATGTTAATATGCGTAAATTGGGTCAAGACGTTCGTGCTGCAGAGAAACGTATCACGGCTACTACTCGTCAATTAGAATCCATGATTCGACTTGCCGAGGCCCATGCTAAGATGCGGCTTTCACAAACCGTAACCAAGGCCGACGTGCTAGAAGCTGAACGTCTTATCCAATCCGCGCTTAAGACAGCCGCAACCGATTCACAGGGTCGAATTGATATGAGTCTTCTTACTGAGGGCACAAGCGCGGCAGAGCGTAAACGCAAGGCCGAATTGAAGGATGCTGCCCTGCGTTTGTTAGATGACTTGACAAGCGGCGGGCAAAGTGTAAGGTTTAGTGAGGTGAGCAGAAGATTAAACGAGGGAGCAAGTATCCCAGTCGAGCCATCCGATTTTGCGGAGACGATGAGAGCACTCGAAATGGAGGGCGTGATCATGATTACTGGAGAGGGTGCTAGAAAGAGCGTAAGGCGTGTCACAGGCGTCGCTTGAAGCGATTTTGAACACGAAAAGGAGTTGATGAGGTCGGTATCATGATATATCAGTTAATAGTGTGCGGGGGAGCTCGTGGTTGTTCCCCATGTTGACATTCAGGATTGGCAACGATGAGGAGTTTGAGACTAGTGTACACATGCGATTGAATGAAATAATGACAATTTATAATGAGTAAGAAGGCAGATATCCTACATTTGCTCCTTGAGATACGAAGGCACTCGTCTAACAACTTATGAAAATGGTTTGACGAAACAAGTCTCATATAGTAAAGGAATTAATCAGCCCTCCTACCCCTCACTCAGTCTTGGCTCTCCTTCTCTCAACCACCCAGCTAGCGTTTGTGAAAGTGCCCATAGGAAGCTCTCCGTATCATTGTCGATACCTACTGTATAGGGTGCAGATAGTGTCCAGTTTTCAGTGTAACCGACAAGCTCAGCGGCGCGAATGACGTCAGAAAATTAGGCCCTCGCTCCACGTTCTGGAGCATAGTTGGATCTAACATACAAGTCTACAACACCGTGTAGCAATGATCTTCAGGGACCAGCGAGTTTTGAATCGGGTCGCAAGTGCGATAATCCAGGCAGCCGTTCAGGGTCCAATGCGTTACTACATCTAATACTGCTTTCCAGTCCCCTCACTTCTCGTCTCTCATATTACCCAACTCCAACCAATTAACACGCCCATCAAGCAGTAACATGGCCTACCAGTCAAAGGACGCTTACCCACGACCCGATTTCGTTCATACGAATCACAGATGGGCACCCATCAACGACCAGTGGACCGTTCTCTTCGATGATGAAGATGTCGGACTGAAGGAGTCGTGGCACATAAACGGCGTGCCCGACAAGGTTTCCGTAAGCGGCTTGTCGGCACCCAGCGGCGCCGATGCCGAGGCGGAAGCCCAACGGCTCGCTGCTTTCCCCGAGCTCATCGCGAAGGCATTCCAAGCCCGGAAAGATCAGAGTCGCGAAAATACCAAGAAGCCTATAAACGTTCCGTTCGCCTTTCAGACACCGGCCTCCGGTCTCCATGAAAAGGACGCTCATGAGGTACTGTGGTACGAGAGGCCGGTCTCGGACCCCCGCGCCAAGGCCGAGATTGAGGCTGGCGACCGTGTCCTCGTCCGGTTCGGTGCGGTTGATTACGAAGTCACCCTCTGGGTGTCGGGGTACCTTGTCGGCAAGCACAGAGGCGGGCATGTACCCTTCGATGTTGACATTACCGATGCCCTAGCTAGCGCTCAAAAGAGTACCGGAAAAGGTGAGCTTCAACTAGTTTTGCGTGTCCGGGATTCGCCGTACGACCTTGACCAGCCACGCGGAAAGCAATACTGGGCTCCTCAACCCGAGAGTATTTTCTATACCCCAACAAGTGGCATCTGGCAACCCGTCATTCTCGAAGTGGTACCGGCAACCCGCCTAGGTAACAGCAGTGCAGGCACAGTGCTGAAATCAAACGACATTTATAACGGGGTTCTTGACGCAGAAGTGGCTGTTATAGGACGGAGATCCGGTCACGCCTATAGTGTCGAGATCGAAGGTAGCCTCAACGGATTTTCAATCGCAAAGAAGAAGGAGAGCTTACCGAAAGACAAGAGCTACACCCGCATTAAGCTCCCACTAGCGCTGAGTGAGGATCAGAAGAAAAGTACACCACCGTCTGTGACTAGCATTGCGCCTTTTGACAATAGCGATTTCTGGCATAAAGGGCTGGCCCTTTGGTCGCCAGACCACCCCACTCTCTATGACCTCATCATCCGATTATACGACTCGGATGGTAAGGTTATAGATGAGGTTAAGACGTACACAGGATTCCGACATCTAGATTGGACCAGGGGAGACGGTACATTCCGACTCAATGGCAAACCCCTTTTCCAAGCACTATGTCTTGACCAAGGATACTGGCCAGAGACGGGCTTGACTCCGCCTAGCCATGATAGCCTGAAGGAGGATATTGTCCTTTCCAAGAAGATGGGATTCAATGGGTGCCGCAAGCACCAGAAAGTCGAAGACCCCGTATTCCTATACTGGGCTGACAAGCTCGGATACCTAGTATGGGGTGAGTTCGCCAACGCTTACGAGTTCAGCGCCGAGTACAAGGATCGGATGAACCAAGAATGGACTGAGGCCGTAAAACGTGACATCAACCACCCGTCTATCATCACGTGGACCCCGGTGAATGAGTCCTGGGGATACCCGAATCTCAAGGATAACGTTGAACAGCGCAACCATGTCCGCGCGCTCTACTATCTAACCAAGTATGTCTATACCTTGCCCCCCCCCCTCCCCCCAAAAGGATGTACGATTAACCTAAATGACGGCAGATCTCTTGATCCCACGAGGCCAGTGAACGATAACTGTGGCTGGGAGCACGTGTTGACAGACCTGAGTACATTCCACGACTACTCGGATGCGCCGGCTCTTGCCAAATCCTGCGACACGCTTGAGAGAATACTGAATCGAGACTGGTGTGGACGGCCCATGTTCGTAGGCCCGATCGGGGACAGCGATCCCGCAACAAAGCACCATCCCGGGGCCCCTATCATCAACACCGAGTTTGCCGGTGTCAACATTGCGACCGCGGGTAAGAAAGACGATGATATCCAGCCCCAGGGCGGTGGTGGAGATTGGGGATATACGACCGCCAGCGATGCCAGTGATCTCCTGAAGCACATCGAAGCGCTCGTCAAGGCGGTCATCCAAGGAAGTCATGTTACTGGATTCGTGTATACCCAGCTGTAAGTCTACTATTTACCCCTAAGTGTTTTTTTTCTCCTTTCGTATTTTTACTAATTGCTTTCCCTGAAAGATCCGATATCGAACAGGAGGTCAATGGCGTGTATTCGTTTGACAGGAAGGAAAAGATCCCGGCTGCTGAGGTGAAGAAGATCTTTGACACGGCGCAGAAGAGCTATTATGACAGCCTCCCGAAGGAAGCCTAATCTAGCCCGTAATCTCGTTCCGGTTTTGTGCTGGGATACCCCTTTGAATTTATCCTTCACGTCTCTCTATGAAAGGACCATCTCTTCACTATTGATAGCAAAGAACTAAGCTAGTTCAAGTTGCTTATTCGGTTAAATAAAATCGATTTTGCTGCTTTATTTTATTGTCTGTCTGGATAAAACTACTTGATATATAACGATATATGCTTCCGAATCTGGTTATATAATAGGCCCACGATACTCGCATAGACATGAACAGCTATCGCCATGAGATATCTTAGAGTTATACAGCACATGATCTCTGACAATAATTATTTGTAGAAAGCGGGTTTATTGTTTAGCTACCAAATATAAGGGACACAGTCATAGTAGTGTTGTTGTGTATTGAGGAACTATACAGAGAGGGACATCATCTGAAGACAGCGTCTCGGGGGCTTGGTTTTTATGTATACTTAGTCACCAAATATATGTATCCACGATGCATAGGGAGGCAGTGAGGGAGTCTTTGAAAACAATATCTTTCATTCCCGACCTAAGCTGATGCCGTCGAGTCTTGATTAGTACGCAAGCAAATATTTTAAAGCCATTCTGGTTGCGACCTTGATAGTAAGTCGTACTGTGCCTAGGTTTGGTGTATATAGTATGGCCGTTCGTGATACCGAAAGCTTACTTTCTTATCCACCACCTATCTATTATCGTAGTTAAACCTTCTTCTGCTCGAGGAAAATAGTAGAGGTTATATATTGTAATTGCGGGGAAAAACCCCAACAAATCCAAAGTGGTGTAGTGGTAGCACGCCCTTTGACACACAGTTCTCTTTAGGGAGGGGAGCTGTGCTTTCGGGGGTGGGAAACCCAGGTTCAAGTCCTGGCTTTGGGATTCATAGAACGTCTTTTTTCTTTTCTTTTCTTGCCTCAAAGATTTAATTTTTCAAGGTAGATGCTGCTGTTCCTTTGTGCTTGACTCCGGCTAGCTGTATGTATAATATCTATACTATACATATAAGCTAGCAGCTTTCTTTGGCGAATTATGTAAGTGTTATTTACGTATATACTATTTATTATCCATTTCAACGACCATTCCAAGCTATGAAATGACAGAGTCAGGCAGAGTGAATATACGACAGCAAGATACACACAGTTCGAGGAAAATTGAATCATTCAAGCTTCCAAATACATAAAATAGCGTGCTATTAGCGCCAAAAAGCCTACGATATACCTAAACTTTAACTATAGCTCTACGATTCTGCGATCACGATAGCAATTGGTCAGCGAGACAACTGCACAGATATTATGATGAGGCAGTAGGTGTATCAATACCCGGTTTTCATTCAATATTGCATAATAACGATGAAGAAGAGTTGGTATGGAAGCCTCTAGGGCTCGAAAGTTTGGGGAGTTTGAAATAATAGAGTCGTCCTATGCCCATACCATCTGTGGTCTGCAAGACTAGAGCCCTTCATGCAACCCTTGCGGTACTAAATTAAGGCAAAATAATCGATTTAGTTTTCACGGCTTTTTGTTACCGTACATGAGCTTACGTGTTTATTCTATTTGATTCCACAAAAATCCTCAGTGCGTAGTTATATTTGAACGTCATAAGTTATTTTAGATAAAGGATTGTATCATAGTTAGAGAAGCATGGAAAAGTAACCACATTCATATATCCCATAGGCAAAACTACGAAACAGTGATACTTGTTAAGAAACGTAAAGTGCCCAGCATGGCGAGGTGAATTGTGTTCACCTAGCTGTCTCGCACCTAGACAACCATACTTAGAATCCAGCAATAAGGTCATCCTAAATTCGCCATAATAGGCCATGCTCAGGGTCACTAACTCTAAGCGAGAAGGGCGCAAGCATCTCGGATCTCCGTCTCGCTATCGATATTCTTCTGCCCAGCCAGCCAGCTTGCCGCCTTATCCACAACGAGCTCCCAAGAACCAGCCTCATGGGCCACGCGGGTCCGAAGGAAAGCAATAGCTAGAGCCGTAGCGACGATAGAATCTTTTCGGATCGGTGTCTTAGCTTTAGATAAATTGGCACCCGTGATATCAAGCAGGGCCTGTTCCCATTCCCAAGATCCATCGAACTTCTGAAGCCGGATAAGGGCGTGCATTTTCTCCTCGCTACTCGCACCGGATTGGAGGCGTGCACTTCGTCTTGAGGGGCTTGAGCGTATCTTTTTATCTGGCGGTGTGTCTACGGGTTCAATAGCTACACTTTTTTTCTTACGTTGAATTATCGGCGTCGAAGGGACAGACTTTCTGCAAGCTTTGCTAGCTAGCTGTTTCCTCGGTGCTGGTCCTGAAATGGCGTAGCGCATTTTTCCGCCAAACGAAACGGGCTCGTGTTCTTCGTCTCCTTCGATTGCGATGAATGAGCACCATTTGCCAGCGATCTGATACTTGGTGCCGAGGTGGATCGCCTCGCGTTCGACGATCTCATTCCATAAGCTCTCGTATTGGGTCTTCAGGAGTACGCCGGAGTCTTTGTCGATGGCGCTGCTGAGCCAGCCATGCCCCTTTTCGAGCTCCGAGACCGCCTTTCTGGCGGCAAGCTGATGGATCGTTTCCCCTTTACCAATGTCTTCCACTTTGATTTCCAACTCGATTGGACCGTCCTCGGAAGAAGCCCGAAGAATAACAGACTCGGGAGTAAGTCCGTAAGTGCTTGGGTCAAGTAAAAGGAACATTGTCGCTCTTGAAAACGGATAAAGAGGAGGAACTCGAAATGGTGCCTGGAGAATCGAAGGGCCTGAGACCTTGGGTACGTGAGCGAATCTGTCTCCCCTCACTCCTTCTGTGTGGTCCTCATCTACTTCGTCTCTGGAATCCTTAGTGAAAAACGTCATCGCGGCTTTCTGGATGCCCTTCCCCTTCTCTCGTACTGGCAAAGTAATAACAACCTTAGATGCGTCCTTGGACTCGATCATCTCGTAATCCTCGTCATCCCTCCTATATTTCATATCAAGGGAATAGTCATTCCTACGTTATAAGAAACACATTAGTTGAGATGTATAGGTGCAGCATCATAAAACCTGCCAGATTACACGAAGCAAGGAAACTGGGGGATCAGGTAACACGCACAGGTGAGGTGTCAAAGCACCCTTTAGGAGTCGAACCATCTTCTTGTCCATTGGTTCTCCCTCGGCGACGAATTGGCTTATCCCATTCCCTTCGGTAGCTATACCCTGCACGAGTGCCGTCGAAGCCCCCCGACCAATTCCCAGAGAGAAAAAACGGCTGCGATGCTGCTCTGAAGATTCACGGATTGTCTTGAATAACTCATCCTGGGACCAGATTTCGCCGTCCGTCAACATTATGACGTTAAGAGCTAGATCCTGGTAGCGCTGGGAGAGTGTGGCCTGAACTGGCGCTATCATTTCGGTTCCGCCGAAGTCCGCAGCTAGGGCGTCGACGTATTTCAACGACTCCTTGAGAGTCGTTTCATTATATGGCTTACTGCGTGGCCAAAGAAACGAGAAGCGACTCCCAAAGGAGCATATGTTGAATTTAACATCAACTCGGAGAGACTTGAGCATCGTGTTCATTGCTTGTATCACCATTTTCATCTTACCATTCATGCTCCCTGATCGATCAACAACAAAGACGACTTCACTAGGAGTAGATGGTAATTGAAATCTCGGCACCAGAGTAACCAGTAATGCGCGTTGGGTTGGAATAGTAGGATGCGTCTCGAGAAGTGCCTTGGGTATGTTCGCATTCGCGACGTTGACCATAACAACGAAGTCTTTATCGAGGCTGTAACAGTTGAGCGAGAGTGTTGCGGACCCACGATGAGGCACGAAAGCTTCCGGAGGCATGTCCGTAGTGTGTCCTATATTTATAGCGACAGGGTGACTAGGAGACTGGATCTTCTGAATGGGGCAACCTTCGGGACTCTCAACATCTACGATGATCTGAATAGCATCATCTCGAACAACTGAAGACAGCAACGGTGAGCTAAGAATGTTGTCGGGGGTGGCCCCATAACGAGGAGTAATGAACGACGGGATCGTGAAACGTGAACCATCAGCTTCAGCATCATAATTTAGCTCGCCTATGTATACGATCTCAACTATGACGCTACTGCCTGCCGGCACGTTACCGATATGTGTTGTGAAAACATCCGAGGCTTGAGGCAACTGCTCCATGAGAGCAGCCGATTTGCCTTCGGTGACGGCTTTCTTGAATTCAGCGCGGGCTCGTTGCTTGTCCTTAACTATGCCCTTGATCTGGACATCACCAATAGTAGCAGTAAAGGAAACGACAGAGACACCACCATACATGGGGAACGAGTAGACCATATTCTCCAAATGTTCACTGGTCTCATTGGAGAACGACTGGGTTAAGGTAGTACGTGAGGCAACATCTTTGATGACGGTGTGAGCTCGGAGGCCTGACAAGGGAAGATAGGACCGGCCAATGCGCCAGGGGGTATCCGGGTGGTTGAAGGGGTACCAGCAACCGATAAGTGGTTGACTAATATTGTGGCTGCCTCGGGCTGTCTGCTTAGTACGAGCCATAGTTCCAGAGAAGGGTTGTGTCAAGGGATTCGACTAGAGTAGGAAAATAGGTAAAGGTTGGTGAAAGCTCCACGTAGAGTAAGGGGGGTGTATGCCCTTTTATACCACAACTGCCCCCCCTCTTGCTGCCTTGCATATAAGTCACCCGTTTCTCTTGGCGCCCTGATGTTAAAGCACTACCTTAGAATTTAACCAAATATTTGTCTACTAGTAATACAGTAAGCATCACATCTTTTTTTCGAGTACTTTAATTTTATATTATATGGTATTAAAAGATCTCCTGCTAACATATAACCACTATAACTGAGCCTATGCTGTAGTAGCTTTGGTTATTTGGGCTATAGTTAAGTCCCTCCTTAGTGATGACTCAGCAGACACTTTCGTACTAAGTGTTCAATGTTGCGCTTCCTTCTGGATTCATTCACCAAGTCCGCCCCGTGGATAAGCTCCGCTCATATCTTTGTAAGCCAGATACCATCACTATAACCGTCTATAATTTTGATTATCTAAGGATGGTATCTGGAGACGCCCATTCGGGATGACGTCTTAACGTGCGTAGGTCGTAGCCACCCAACAAATACCCTGTTCTCAAGGTTGAGGGATCGGGTGACACCCCGCCGATCCTAGCGAAGAGTATATGGGGATACCTTAGTGGCATCCTCGATAGTGGCAGGAGGCGCTCTACCTGCCTCGAATTCGCTTGGTTATATTACTCGGTTGAACAAGTTATTGAGAGTATAATACTAAATTCAAGGTTGAATGATGAAATAAGCAACTCAACCATCTTGAGATTAATAACCGCCCGGGTGCAGAGATAGGTTGTCCCACGATAATTTCAATGTAAAGCGAGGGAGTATCTTTTCATCATGGGAAAATAGCTGAATTTGACGACTGATGATGTAAAAGCGTGGTGTCTGGTTGAAATACAAGGAGTGGCTGTTATTGGAGTAGGTTAGTTACATAGCCACAGAGTGGCTTTGTAGGTACTCTCTAGCCACATTTACTCATTCAGCTTCATTTCAATACTACGTTAGTAAACTTATGAAATAAAAGCGCAGCTAAACGTTGAATAATAATTGAATTATCGTGAAATAATAGTTAATCGGCATTTTCATTCAAACAAGATTGATTCCTTTGTTAAGCTATCCCTCGGGTCTGAGACGTTTCTAGGGGGTTTGAACTGTTACGCAGCAATTATCATGATTAGGACCCCTCTTCTAGTGTTTCCGTTGATGGAATAGCTTAAGAGACACCTGCGCGCAGAAGGATCTCACACTACTACTTTAACGACGAGATAGATGAAGCCTTTCGCATGCACTTTTTCTTTGAAACATGAGGGTCCGTTGGTTGTAC